CACATAATTTGGTATCATCTGCAAACTTTGAAATCTTGGAGACTATTCCTTCGTCGATGTCGTTAATGTATATCACAAATAATAGCGGTCCCAATACCGATCCCTGAGGCACGCCACTTGTTACGTCTATCCATCTCGAGTTTATTCCTTTTATCCGCACCTGTTGTCTCCTATCTTTCAGCCAATTTTTTATCCATTGTAGCAGATTTCCTTCTACCCCGCATGCCTGTAACTTTTTGGATAACTTTTTATGTGGCACCTTGTCGAATGCTTTTGCAAAATCTAAATATATTACGTCTACCGAGTTATCCTGGTCTAGGTTAGCATAAACATCTTCAAAAAAATCCAATAGGTTAGATAGACAGGATCGTCTTTTCATAAAACCATGTTGGCTGTCATTGATTGTGCAGTTAGAATTTAAGTGCTCGACTATATTCCTCTTGATATTTTTTTCTAATACTTTACATATAATGCAAGTTAAACTAACTGGTCTGTAGTTACTAGTTTCGCTTCTACGTCCTTTTTTGAACAACTTTGTATTACATTGTTACGGCTGTCGTTTCATTCAGGTTTTTTAATAATTTGCAGCTTTTCAATTCGTTCGTGTGTTAAATTAACCTATATATTTGTAAATTAACAGTGTAATAATTATTACGTTTGATTTTAATTTTTAATTGATGGCAATGCCCAACTTTTAACTATTGTTCGATTCAACAATGTAGCCGTAATTAACGACGTTACTCATCGCGGTCAGTTCGCTTGAGCATAATTATATTTTTCCTGATGTTTTGGTCAATAACAGCTTTATTTTTTGTGTTTACATAGACATATAAGTTCATTTTTCACTTCAGAATTTGAGATGAAGATCTCTACGTGACTTATCTAGTTGTTTTCTATACCTATAAAAGTGACATAGATACAATCATCGATATGATTATCTATGCATATTTGTACTAGCTGTGTTTAAACGTACGAAAATAACTTTACATTAAATAGCATGAAATTTTGCCTCAATAGCAGCTATCAGGATAAAAACTGTAAACTCGCTAATGACTTAACTAATAAAGAAAAAAATGGAAGGAATAATCATTACATGTCGGATGATAACAGTAGTACAAAAACGTTTAAAATAGTAAATTATCTACTCTCTTCTCTTATCAAGTGAGTTTTCAGAAATAAATAAATCAATCAATCAATGAATTATGTATCAGTTTTTTTCAAACACTGTCAAAAAATTACGTAAATTGTTTTTAATGTAAATAAAATTTGTTAAAAATTTTTAAAAATGTTGGATACAATGTTAATCGTTATAATTGTAAAATTAAGAGCCAAAAAAACTGTACTTCTGTTGGTTTGATTTTGATATTTTGTAAATTAACAAATGCAACAGGCAACTTCTGTATTACCCGATCCGTGGGTTATTAACCGACTTGTCGTCAAAACTGGATTGAATTGTTTCTAAGATCTTCTAAACTGGATTGAATTGTTTTCGATTATCTTTTTATTGCTTTCATTCTTAATGGACCCCTGTTAAGCCTTTTTTATAGATCTGTCGTTATTTATGTGAACTGTTTTAGTATAATTTATTCTACATTTTGAAAGTTCTTGAAATGCATTTTCTCGAGAACGTAGTAACCGAAGCAACGCTATAATTTTCTAAATTGTATCTTTGATTCTTATTTTTAATATTTGTTGAGTTTTTCAATTTAAATAAGAATGTCATTTTTCCAGCTCCTAATGCATAGCATCAAAGGCGCTAAGGATAAATTAGTATCAAGTCATAATGAATAATTTATAGAAAACCAATGCAATTTGAGCTAGAAGTACAATATGACACATCAAAAACTAATTTAGCTAGTTTGTTTTGAACACGTTGTAGGGAAAAAATGAGCTTGAAGGATGTACAAATTGAAAAAGCGTTACAGTACTCAAAATAAGAGAAAACAAGGCAGCGAGTTAGGGTGAAAGCCAAACCAAAAGAAATATGGAGATGAATACATAAATTATGAAGTTACAAGATTTTATAGTTGAAAAATTTTGAGAGTTAAAAGAAAGGGAAAGATCAAGAGTAATGCCTAGAAGTTTGACACTATTTGAGATTGGCTGAGGGGAACCAGCAGCAACATTTTAAAAGTTGTTGAAGGTTGCCGAGGAACATGATAATAGACTTTAGATGCCAATCTTTGATGACGGATGTGCGAGCGTGTTTAGGTTATCATGTTGTGATGTGGTATGAGATGAGTGTTAGTTGTGAAAAAGCAAGTGACATCAGCTTATAAATAAAAGGAGATCTCATACTTTGAGATAAAATCAGAAATGAAAATAGTGTAAACAGAAGGGGGTCCAAAAACAGAACCTTGAAGCACATCGGCAGTCAAGGAAAGAAGTAGGGAGAAGTAAGTATCATGTTTGACATATTGGGATTGGTTGAAAACCAACAAATAACAAAGAACAGAGTCTCTTATGCCAATTTCTAATTATAGTCTGTCAAGTAGCATTTAATGGTTGATCGTGTCAAATGTGGCAGATAGATCCAGATTATGCAACATCGCACAGTTTTGATTTCCGTAATTTTTGTCAAACTGTCATGTGCATGAAGAAGAGCAGTTTCAGTGAAAAAATCTGGCTTATAGGCACACTGATAAGAAGTAAAGTTAAAAGTGATAGGTTGAAAAATCTGATTTAGTGCCAAACTCTCTAAAAGTTTTGAAACTGTGGAAATATTTAAAACTGGACGATAGTTTGGAACAATATTAGGATCAAGATTGAGCTCTTTAACAGTGGAAGAGCTTGCGCAGTTTTAAAAGATGTGGGAACTGTAGGAAAGGTTGGAAATTTTGATAGGTATAGGAGCAAAAATATAAGGAAATTCTTTAAGAAGTGGATTTGGTAAAGAATCGTAAGACAAAGTTTTATTGGGTAAGAAGAGAATCAGTTTTGTGATGTCAGCAACACTCGCAGATGGAAAAGTTTCGTTGGTTCACGATCGTTGGAAGCTACAACACTGTTGTTGAAAATATAGAGATCTTTGAAGTTATAACATTGGTGTTGGTAGTTACGAGCGTTCAAGGGTTACAACAATATGTTGAATGGACTTCAGAGATTTAATTGATGCTGAAAGTTGTTGATCGATGTCAGCAAGTTAACCTGTGATATTGAAATCACCACAAGTTGATGATAAATTCTATGTTGATGATAAATTCTATGTGATCAGTGAACCCACCGATAAAGTTTGTTGAAAAATTTTCTGGCGGTCAAAAAATTAATGAAAATATGAATGAAGATGTGGTAGATTAGTAGTCAAACTTTTATACTTATGGTCGTTGTGACAGCTTGTGTGTTGTAATGCATGTCGTGTGCATTTTATTTGTTGCCTTTGACGTTTTATTTGGCACTGTTGCCTTAAATGATATGTATGTTTCACTTTTTTTAACATTTAATATAAAGAAATATACCGAGAGGGACGAATGAAACCTCTCGTTTCAGAAACGAGCTAATCAGAATGTTTTGTTCAACGCAACTCGTGAGTTCACCAGTCTGGTTGATTTGATTGGTTTTATTTTCTAAAAATTTTTGATAATAATAATAACGTCATTTATGAAGCGCCAATGCAAGCGCCTCCGAAAGACTATAATAATTAATCAAGCACGGCAAATGGATAAAAATAATAAAAGATATGATGGCTAAAACAAATCATACTTTTTATTATTTTTATCCATTTCCCGTGATTAATTATTATATTCTTCCGGGGGCGCTTTGCATTGGTGCTTCATAAATGACGTTATTATTATCAGAACTTTTCTTAAAATAAAAGCAATAAAAGTTAAACTAATAAAATCAACATAACTGGTGAACTCACGAGTTGCGTTGAACAAAACCTGATCAGCTGAATTGACCTTTTGATATTAAGAAATATACTGAGAGGTGCTAATTTCGACATTACGAATGAGACCTCTCGTTTCAGAATTGAGTAAACTCTAAAAAATTATTGCAATGGCAAACACTTCATTTCATGTTATTTACCCGATAGTTCAACACAAATTACTGAGGACTATTTAAAATTTAGATAATGTATTTTCAAATATTACGTTTGAAATGCTTATAAAGGGATGTGTCAAGAGACGAAGAATTCCTAGGAAAATGGATATTATTTTCTCAGAATTCTACGCCCTTTTTTCAACAATTTGTTCAAATTTCTCAAAGTAGCTATTGTGAAGATAACTCGAATTTGACAGAGTTGCATGCAAATAAACAGGTGACATTTTTATTTAAATTTGAGTAGGAGGAAGGAGTGCACAGTCGATCACTTTTTACAAAAATGGCTATAACTTAAAATTTTTAAGATATAGCATCTTCTCTAAATATTTGTTTTATGCCTTTATTATTAAAACTTCAAATTCTACCTAGCGCATTTATCTAATTGGAATGGTTTTGAGCAAAATGGAGTACAAAATGGCCTACTTACACACGCATAGTATATACAATAATATATCAATAATGCAACACAGGTATATCTAACCGTACCTACCTTATGTAGGGGGAAGGCGTGCACAGTCGATCGGTGTACACAGTCAATCGGAACGTTTGTTTTCGAACGCACTCTTATTTTGTAAAATATAATGTACCACGTGGACGACAATATAGGTGACCTCGTTGTTTATCGCCATTTTGACAGAAATCATTCGCGGATAAAATATTATAAATCTTTTATGCATTTTAACGAATACAAAGTAAATATTGTACACCATGGAACGAATTAAGCTGTACATAAGGTATTGTATTCATAAATTTTGGGGTAGGAAATATCCATAAAAGTTATAGGTAGTATAAAAATCATAGGCATGGACGTACACAGTCAATCGTCATAGGAGTGTACACAGTTGATCATTGATCGACTGTGTACTGCTTTTAATAATGAACTAATTAATAGTGAATTATTGTATGGTTTTTCCGAACTTAATGACGGTGAATTTGTCATTGTAAAATTTGACTTGATGAAAATGATGAAAACAGACAAGAAGAAAATTGTTCATTATATCGGCAAATTAACAGAGAGAGATGGTGAACTAATGATTGTGTTTTTAAAAAGAGAAAAGTCTACAGCATTCCAGTTTATAATCTCAAATGAAGAACCGTATGAAATTGATAAAAATGACATTGTTTGTAAGCTTCCAAAACCAGTTTGTCATGGTGGAACTGCCCGGGCCTCAAGGCATTTAATATTTCCTGTTGATCTGTCAGTCATTGAAAATCTGTCCTAGTTTGTGGCCTTTGAAGGGAAACTTTCACTTAAAAACATTATTTCTTCTAGTACTAGTTTAGTATTACCAACTAGTTCAGTAAAACTGTTAATATTTATTCATTTCTTTATTTTAGATTAGTATAATGAGAAGAATTGTAGAAAAACTTATATCTACATAAGGACATTTTACTAGAAGAATTTACATTATAACAGTTTTCTAAATCAGTATTAAATTACTAATTTCTGTATGTTTTTAAATTCTTATCAACACTTAATTAAATGCTTGGCAAACTTAAAATTGTATATTTGTAGTAGTGATCGGATGTGTACTTACATGTGATCGGATGTGTACACTGGTTGTACACAATCGATCGTTTTCAGTAGGCCATTTTGAACTCCATTTTGCTCAAAACCATTTCAATTAGATAAATGCACTAGGTAGAATTTGAAGTTTTAATAATAAAGCCATAAAACAAATATTTAGAGAAGATGCTATCTCTTAAACATTTTAAGTTATAGCCATTTTTGTAAAAAGTGATCGACTGTGCGCTCCTTCCCCCTACAGCTGAATTCGTTCGATGGTGTACAATATTTACTTTGTATTCGTTAAAATGCATAAAAGATTTATAATATTTTATCCGCGAATGATTTCTGTCAAAATGGCGATAAACAACGAGGTCACTTATATTGTCGTCCGCGTGGTACATTATATTTTACAAAATAAGAGTGCGTTCGAAAACAAACGTTCCGATTGACTGTGTACACGATCGACTGGGCACGCCTTCCCCCTACGTCTAAAATTATAAGTCCGATTAATTAAATTTAATTTATGAAATGAAATTTTCCTTTAACCTCAAGGACGATTTCGCATCAAACAAGGAAACAGTAAAAATAGGACCGACGAAAGCTGGCAACAAGATATTGAAAAGGTTTTTCGAATTTCGTAAGTTAATAAAATTTGATTTTATGATTAATAATTTTTCAGATCCAAATGTTATCAAACCCTATGCGAAAATATGCTGGAAAACAGTATCTACAACATATTAATGGAGGCGTATTACGGCCAATTCAACTTGACCGCAAGACCGAGATTGGTGGCTTTGCCACCAAAATTTAATTCAAAAAGATGAATGAATGAATGGAAAACGTGAATTTACTTTTTCGTGCAATGCACGTCTATTGAATGTAAAAACTAAATAAAAATGACAAGAAACACATTTTTGAATTTGTTTATCGAATCAATTCAATAAGGTACAAGTTAACAAGTTTAACAAATTTAACAAGCAACACGCAATTAAATGAAACTATTTTACGACAGTCAGACTTGATCACTTTCATCAAACTGTTTGATGAGCTTTTTGAGGTACGTTAATTTTTGGTGATAATAGTTCCACTTGTTTCGCTCTAAAACGTGCTGCTCATTGTCCAGCAATGCGGCATGCTCAACCAATATTCTTTCGAAAGTATTCTGTATTATTGCAAAAGTTGTAATGATGAAGAATTTAAGCATGAGTTTAATAATTTCATTACCTTGTAATCCACTGAGTCAACTGTTTCAAGCCTCAGTGTGTCGAGTAGACTGTTAATGTTGACCAGTCTTTGCTGGATTGATTGGTGAAGATTTATATATTCTTCATAACTTTCGTTAAAAATTATTTTGTACTTGTTTCTCGTTTGTTTACTGTCTATTGCGGGATATAGCCTAGAAAATAATTTAACGCTATCAAAAAACGAAGAAAATATTTAGACAAAACTTACCTTGATAAATTGTCATCAAATTGTGACGTGGGATCTGAAAATTATAAACTATTTCAAATTATTTCGGTAGCAGAAAAAATTATTTGAAAATAATTCGTCGGTCCTCTTTTTACTGTTCACATTTCATTGACTTGGGACCACAAAGTTATAACACTGAGCGTGCACGGTCAGAGCCAAATTTGGGTAGGGAGGGCACAAAAGAGCCCGGACATAAAACATGAGCTGCTTCAATGGTCAACAACACTGGTTTTAATTTTAATAGAAAATCATCCATTTAAGAAAAATAAAAAAACTTGACAACTTTTTGAAATAAGCAATTATTGACATCGACGCTAAAAATGACAACCATTGCAACAACTAGGGACTTCCACTAAATAAAAAAATTCAAGGAGTTTTAAGAAAAATATAAAAAATATCGGCAGATTAGAAGATCTTCCAAAACATTTTTAATGATACCCATTCTTGATGGCAGCGAATATTCACGTGTTTTTAAGATATTAAATGGTCATTAAATATTAAACTAAATGGTCACTCATTTAAATAGCAATATTGCTAAATAACTAGAATAGTGTTATACTACTTTGTGAGGAACTGTCTGTGAGGGTGGGTTTCTTCAAGGCGTGAGCTACCCTGTTCTTCTTTGGTAGGCTGGGATAGCTCTCCGAATCAACTTCAAATTGATTGTCAGATTTCTAAAATAATTATAATTACTACCATCATCATTACTATTATAATCGAAAAATATAGCCGAAAAGTTTGTTTATTCTGACAAGTTGTTGAGAAAATTAGTTATTATATTAATTTCCATAGCACAATTTAATCGTACATTATTGTTGGCAACAAAATCTGCTGCTGCTTCCTTACAATATCTTCTATTTATGCACTCGTCAGAAGTCATTCTATTGAGAAACGTGAGGTAACTAGTAAGCAGCTTCTGTTCTCATTTTTAAATGGTTCTTGTTATACAATATTGTTGGAAACCGAGTACACCTCTCACAAACATCTTGGACCAAACCTAACCTAGGTCGATTCTTTGGTAAATTTCACTTTTATCATATCATTGCATGATTTCTCCACGGTGAAAATCCTATTTTAAGATGTTTACGACATTTTACAACATTAATGAACTTTGTACTGATTTTGTGTTGGCTGTTCTAGTTAAGCTGGACAATTAAAATAGCGATACGAGTATTTAATTAATCAACTGGGCAAGAATACTGAAAGTCAATGAATGTACAAGATGAAGTTATAATAAGAAATTGCTGATTTGTTCCAAAAAAAATAAACAATAATTGCCAGCCGAAATTGAAATTTTTGGAGAGGCCGGAGTCGGATTTTTTCACCAGACTCCGGATGATGTTATTAATTTTTAAAAACATTTCAATTTTTGAATTTTTTTTAAGATCGTGTTTTTCCAAAACATTTGTGTAACGAGTGCAATCATCTTCAATACTGAAAATAATTGCAAATACAATGCTTTTTTAAATATGTTTTCAGACATAAAAATAAAGTAATTTTACTAAGAAAAACAATTACATTGACTGATTTTAAAGGTTTTTTGAAGTATTTTTTATGTATTAGTGATAATAAGGTGAAGTTATGATGTCTGAGTTGAAAAATTTTTCTGGGAATCGAAACCCGGAGTTGGGAGTCGGAATTTTTTAAAGTTGGAGTCGAATATTTTAATAGGACTTCGACAGTCTGAATAAAACAAGAAAACATTTCTGAAGTAACTAACATTTAAAAAGGAGGGACTATCCTTAGATGTTTGCGGGGATGAGATGGAATGGCTCGCACCAACCAGAGCCCGTTTCCTGTTATTTTAAAGAGCAATTATAATTCATTTGCCAAATAATTTAAAAGTATATTTTATATTCTTTTCAAAATTTATCAACATTTGCATCGAAGTCAGATTATATTTCAATCAATTTCCCACAAGATAGAAAGCATAGAGAAGTTGCATTTCTCCAAAAGCTTCCTATCCTGATAGGGAATTTGCGTGGATTAGCTCCAAATACATGACCGTCGATCATTTGTGAAGTTAAAAATGGATTCTAGCCCCACTCGAGCTCGTTGAATGCCTCAACATTTCGCTGTTCGCTGCAACAGAACGATGTCAACAATGGTCTCGCATGTTCGCTTAGTGTTATAGCACTTGATATTAATATTTTAATAGCAGAACCTAAATAGTTTCATTTGTTGGCAATAATGAGTAAGGAATATGGCTTCTGCTTCGGTAAACTGTAAAATACGATCGATGCTAAGTCGCTGAGTTCATCCAATTTATATATGGAAAGTTACAAGGAGATAATTAATACGACGATGTCACCGAGTAGTAGTCCACAGTGGCGTAACAAGGGGGGGCAGAGAGGGACAGTTGTCCCCGGGCGCAGGGCTGGGGGGGCACAATATCAGTGACCAAAATATCAGTGACCAAAAAGGTTTTTTTATTATTATTTTGCTTTACATAGCAATTTCTGTGTCTGTCCTTTAGAACAGGTCAGTCACAGTGCAGTTAAAAGCTTGTATAGATTATGCTCTATAGTCTATAGTATAGTATCTTTGTGGTATAGCTGCATTGGGTTAGTCAGTACGGCTGCCTACAAATACCTGCTATTACCAGTGATGGGCATAGTTTATTAAAATAGTTGCAAACTAATAGTTTAACTACTTTTTTTTAGTTTCCTTCCTAGTTTAACTAAAAAAAAATAGTTTAGTTAAAACGATAGTTTAACTAAAATATTTTAGTTGCTAACTAAATAGTTTAACTAAAATCTTTTATCCATGTCTTGACTTATGGTTAAGTTATCAGGTATGTTGACATAAATTTTGATAAGAGGGAGGTTGTAATAAGAGTCATTTCTTGGCTACATCGAAATTCATGGAAAAGATGCAGCCTCGATTGAAGATGTTATCGTAAAAAGATTGGAATCTGACAACATCCCGTTACAAAATTGTAGATCTCAATGCTATGACAATGCAGCTGTTATGTCGGGGCATTTATCTGGAGTTCAGCAAAGAATTTGCACAAAAAATAACAAGGCATTGTTTGTGAATTGTGACAATCACAGCTTAAACTTGTCAGGGGTGCATGCTGCAAGTCAAGATCCAATTGTAGTTACTTTTTTTGGCACCATTGAAAAAATTTATCTATTCTTTTCAAGATCAACCCATCGATGGGAAAAACTTAAAGAAGCAGTGACCATCACAGTCAAACGTGAATCAGAAACACGATGGAGTGCTAGAGCAGAATGTGTTAAAGCAATTCATGATGGACTTGATAACATAGTCAGTCTACTGGAAAAAATGTCTGAAGATACAACTGAAACACAAGAAACTAGAGGCGATGCTGTAATTCTGCTACAAAGTATTCTTAGTTTCAACTTCTTAGTTTTCCTTCCTTTCTGGCATGACATACTCAAAAAAATCGACCGTGTTCAGAAAAGACTTCAAGATCCAACAATGAATTTCCATGAAGCGTCTTTGGATATTGAATCTCTGCACATGGATATTACAAGAATTCGTGAAGACATATGCAATGATTCAGTGCTAAAAGCAAAGGAAAAATGTGAGCTATGGGGTGTGGCTGTAGAAAGTAGAATCAGGCGACGGAGAAGGATGCCTGGAGAACTTGCCCGAGATGCAGGACTTTCGGCAGAAGAAGAAATTGTTCGTATCATGAAGAGTATTTTAGATCGACTCGAACAGGAGATGACAACAAGGTTTACTCGTCTCAAAGATCTGAACTTCGAATTCGGATTCTTACTTGATGTAGACAAACTTTTGAATGACAAAGATCTTAACAGTCTCCGTCAGCATTGCATTGACTTTGGAAATTTTTATGACTCGGATGTTGAAGGAATTGAGTTATTAAATGAAATATGTGACTGCAGAATGCTCCTTGAGACCCGCCAGGATACTGCACCCAAGACTCCTACAGAACTCTTGTCATTCATTATTAGTTACGGAGAAGATGTTTTTCCAAATTTGCGTGTTGCTCTACAAATCCTTCTTACTATAGCTGTCTCGATTGCCAGCTGTGAGCGATCCTTCAGTAAATTAAAAATAATTCTTTCCTATCTTCGAGCATCCATGGGACAAGATAGACTCAGCGATCTGGCCCTAATGAGTGTGGAGAGGGAAGTTCTTGAACAGATTGATTTTGATGATATAATTAACCAGTTTGCTGCAGTAAAAGCAAGAAAAATAAATTTTCTTTAAAATTCTGCTCATTTCCTAACCACAATTTCTAGACAATACTTAGCTGTTGTTTTGTTTTTAAATTTAATAATTTTTATTTCACACTTCTGACTCAGCGGACAATAAAAATACAGAATTATAAAAACTACTTGAAAGAATCTAATTATATACATCAATCATAATCATTTTTTTTTAAATCATAATCATTTTTTTTGCCAAATAAATGATTAAATGATAATCATTAATATTTTGTATTACAATATAATAGTTAAGAACTGAGAAAGAATAATACAATTATGGTGTAAGGTGCAATATGCATATAGAAACATGAATACACTGAAATGCATTGTATATAGGCGTCACGGAGTGTAGCCTACTTCAAATACTGAGTACGACAGTTATATTTTATATAGTTTGACAGATTTTATGTAGGGGGCGCAAATTTTTTGTTTTGTCCCCGGGCGCAGAAGACCCTAGCTACACCACTGGTAGTCCAATTAGGAGGTGCGTACAGACGTTTGAAATCATTTACTGGCGATATGTACACGGCACACTTCATACAGATGGATGGAGATGTTGAGAATGAAGTTTGAAAGAACAATACGAGCCGTGAGAGGTGGCTGGTTGGAGAGATTGGTTGAAATTAAAGATGTCCAGGGAAAAGTGCAAATTTACGTTAAGTTCAAAATTTTGAAACTGGGCTCAAAATAAACAAAAATACAATGGTAACAACAGCAACAACAATAATAATAATAATAATAGTTATTAAAAATGTTGATAAATAAATCAATACAATATTAATTAAGGAATCATCAGCTCACCCAATTGGCTGCGATCGACTGTTAACTCGAGATGGAAAGTTTGCATCTGGCAAATCTGATGCATCACTTTTTCTCAATTCAATACTATCTTTCTTTGTGTGATTCTTTATAGTGTTGCTAATGAACGATGTTTTACTCGACTGATTAAATGTCGAAGAATGCTTTGCCTTGAAGCGCGTCATATTTCTTTCATGGCTTTTAAGCTTTATCTCTTTGACGCTAGCGAATGGAGAGCAATTAATGTTATAAAATCAGCATTATATATTTCATATTAAATTAAAATTTCCAAATCTTTAACAAAAATTTTTGTTCGAATGTTTAAAATGTTTATAAATAAGTAATTAAATTGTTCACTCAAAAGATTTTACAATTAAATTGCCCTTTCGAAATGTTTCATAAAATCAAGAGGCATGAAATTTTTTCTTGTATTAGATGGAACCAAATGTTTAATAAGAAAGTCAAATGATGCAAATATTTTATAATGTTTAACAATTTATCCTTTATTATGCAAGTCTGACAAACATGGAGCGACTTGCGAATCGTATATCTGGTTATTATGTTTTATCTGCACTGCACGAAGTACATCGTATATAATTGCAAGGACAATAATTATTCCAAATGAAATAAGAAGGGTAATAAGGGGCAATCAATTTAACGATGCCATCGGGTCCAACAAGAAAGTGCGCTCGTTATAGAGACATAATGAAGAGGCAAAATGAACGATTACTCGAACATTTAGAGATAACAAATGCAAGTACAAAGTAGTTTTTTTTATTATATACTGCTTTCTTTTAATACTTATATGTTACAAACTTAGTTATTTTATTTTTACTTAATGTTACTAATACTTTTTACAATTATCTATCATGTTTCTAACTTGCGTGCTATTATGCTACTCTGCATTTGACAGAGTTCGAGCTACAGAATTTTAAATAATGCCGCTGCAAAACTTCACATCTGAATGAACTCTCTCACTTCTTGCATTCAATGACTCTCATTAAATAAACTAGAGAAACATTGATTAATAGCAGCCAATAAAATTATCTAAGAAGAAACAATTTGAAATCGAGAATATCTTCGATAAGAAGCTAAAATTATGAAGCATTAACAAAATCGATTATAAAATGTAAACAAATTTGATCAGAAAACGCACCAGTTTTTTTTAGATTCCGATTCAGCGATAGACATCTTCTCAAGCGTGCTTTGGTAGACGTCATCGGAAGCGTGAACCGTTATCTTGTGCTGGATGGAACCGATGTTTTGAATTGACGGAGATCTAAGGTGAATTACAATGATCAGGTTTACCACCAAAAAATATATCTGGAAAATCTGTTCAAGTTATTGGTAGTCAAATATTTTTCACTTATCTTTAAATAAAATTTTATGTTGCCACGTGATGACTTTGAATCGAACTTTAGTTATCTTCAGCAACATCCCAAATCGTATAGTTCCATTAGTTCCACTCAAGACATAATTCCAACAGCATGCCAAATTGTATTTTTTTAATAATGAAAATTAGCCACTACCTATTATAGAGCTTTTAATTTGTGTGCTAGCAGATATTTACATACAACCAAAAACAATTGTTAATGAACAATTAAATTTTGAAACAAACCAATTAAATAAAATATTTCAAGTTTAACAAGAAATGTTTAAAGTGCTAGAAACTTTCATCTCACTTGGCTGTTTGTACCAGACATTCGGTGCTTCCATCTTTCAATTCAGCTACATTGGCAATAGTGAATGAGAAGTTTTTAAAAGAATCATTCCCATCTGATAAATCAGTTGGCACTAAAATAGTCTAAACGTTGAATAATGTTAAATCATGATTATATGCAAATCAGGTGCCTATTTTACACAAATGTACAAACCCCTTGATTCTTGTCGAACTGAATTTTAGAAAAACATTTTATCTGAAAATATTTTGTTTTATTTTATAAGCTATAATAATATACTAAACTCACAATGTTTAAAAAATAAAAATAGTATTACTTTTTTTTGGTTGTATGTTTCAAATGATTTTAAAGCAGAATCAGTGAGTTTAATTTGAAAAACTGAAAGTTCCCCTTTATACTTTTCAAAATTCAAGTTGATTTTTGCGGATGAAGTGTTGAATGAAGACATCTGTAAAAAGAGTATGGTGGAAAATTTAACAAAATACTCTCAAAATAGTTATTTATGACAATTAATATTTAGAAATTTGTTGTATTAATTGATGCCTAACAGAATATGTGTTAGTGTGAAATTGTATTCGCACCTATGACTTTCACATTGTATTAATGTGACATACCAATAGTTATAACTGTTTCCTATATTTTTGATACTTTATAATTTCATTAAAAATTTTATTACGGATGCACTTTTAAACTTAAACTAAGATCGGGAGGGCAAGCCGAGTATCGGGTCAGAAAATGTATTCTTACACTTTACAAGTCTGCCCATTTGAACCTAACAAATGCAAATTAGTCTATTAAGGAAATTTTTTCCAACATATTATCTCTTTAGAAAATTTTTCTATTTTTTTATATCTCAAAGTTTATTTTAAAAAATTTATGCTATTGAACATATCATAAATAATACTAGTAACATTTTTAATTTAATAGGAGTCACTGAAACATCATCAGCTTCACTCATTGCACTTCTTTTTTATAAATTTGTATATAACAATAGGTTTGCTAAACATGGCATTGCTGACTTCTGCCGAAAATAAAATGACAATGAATATACAATAAAAATTTATAACATAGACAAATATTCAACTATACCTGTTAATTTTTTCTTAATAAAATTTAAAAACAATGTTATGTAATCTTCATCTTCTCGAGCAAACAAGGCATGTGCTATTTATTGGCGGTCCATGGTGCTCAGCATCTTGAGTGTACAGAAGTATGCCGTGCTTATTGATTTTATATGTTCCATTCATTAGAACGACTTCCCTATGTTTTCGAGCCAACTGTTTCTGAGCATCTGTGCAAAAATAAAACACAAGTGACTGTCTCACTTTTGTCCACTAAAATTTTACTTGTTACTACCTTATACAAATGTTGTTTGTTATTTAGTTTCAAATTGAATTGCTTAGCTTTAACTAATAAAAAATTATCTAAGGTGCACAGATAACCGTGCTAATATGTCCACTTTGAAACAATAGTTTTGAATGAAGCATGAACAAAATTAAAAAAATGAGATTTCGTCGATAGGGCAAAATTTGAATATTTGTGTGGTATGTAGACATCACTGTGAGAGAAACAACCAAAACTCACTCAAACTTCGTGGTTGCAGTGCGATGGCTGCATACACTGGTATCATTGTTCATGTGTTGAAATGAAAAACTACTAAATGGGCCATGGACAGTGTGGATTTAACAGTAGTGCACTTGGGCCTTTATGTAGTTGTTTCATCTTAACACATGAACAATGTACCTGTTCTTTCAATTAGATTACTGTATAAATATGTATGCGCGTGTTATAATAACACTTGATGTAATAAACCTTTCAAAGTTTTTAACCTTATGTCATCAACCTGGGGTGTATCACACCCCAGAGGGTATAAATAACTCTGTATCTCAGATATTTGAACAAATTAAATTATATACCTTTGTGACATCTTATAACCTTCCTTCACCTAGAATATGGCAAAATCTGGCTTAATTCAAATATTTGGTTTTAAGTATGTGAGCGTTTGAAGTGTCTTACGGCATATTTTGTCAACCTGGGGTGTCCTACACCCCAATAGTCTTGAAGTCATCTAAACTAAAATTAGTATTGCAGTAATGAAATAATAATAATAAATGTGAAATAATAATAATAAATGTGAAATAATAATAATAAATGTTATAGCATCAAATTTAATATGCATTATCAATTTTAATTTAAGTTTAATTTTCATCAATTTTTGAAATATAAACATACTTTTCTCATTACATGACAATCATCTAAATTTTGTTTGGTTTATTTTGTCTCTAAAAATTTGTATTGCAAATAAATACTTAATAGAATAGAATAAAAACAAAAATTAATTAATAATAATAAATAATTTAATTTAAAAAAAATTGAACAAGAAGTAAAAATGGCGGACAAGCAAAGTCGATTTAGTCTTGATGCCGTGGTTGCTGCAATATTGCAGTCCGACAGCGAAAGTGATTTCTCGGATACAGATAATTCTTCTGATTTTGAATGTGAAGAAGTGAAACAAGATTCAAATGAGGATTGCAGTAGTGGTACTGAAGAAAAAAGTGATGCAGATTCTGAAACAGGATTCAATTGTGGGCCGCAACCGGTTCGTCGTAAAATGGTAAGGAGCAATTTGCCTCAAGTCATTGCTGCTCAAGTTCTCACAGGTAAAAATGGTCGTATTTGGTCGCAAACTGCAAAACCATTAGCACAAACAGCAGCAGAAAATGTTTTGACTCAAAAACATGGCCTTACTGCTATTGGACAAAGATCCGAAAACTTGCCTGACAGTTTTGCATTATTTATGACTGAAAGAATGATTTTTCTTATAGTGAGAGAGACTAATCACTAATCGTCGAGCAAATAAAAATGTTCGTGAATGGAATGAAGCACATCAAAAAGAAAATATTGAACAACGTGTGTGGGTGGAAACTGACGATGTTGAGGTTAGAGCTTTCATAGGATTGCTTATACATGCCGGTTCGCAGAAATCAGGAAAAGAATATGTTGATGAACTTTGGTCATCTAATAAAATTTTTAGGTCTTGTTATTAATGGTTCTTTATCTTGGCTAGAACACATTAATTATATTTCATGTAAGATATAAAAAAATCTAGGTATTATTTATCGTCTTAGGCTTAGATTTCCTAATTTTACTTTATATTCTAAATATAAAACTAGTTTTCCGATATTTAATTTATTGTGTATCAATTTGGGGTTGTAGTTCAAAGACTCATCTGCATGTTTTGAAATCGTAACAAACTTTTTTTTTGTTAGAATATTATTTAGTTAAAAAATTTCCTCATATCACTTTTCATTAAGAATCTTCAAACATTTGGTCTCTAGAAGACTTGCATGTATTGTATTCATTATGTTTTTTTAATTATTAAAATAAGATTATTGCTCCAATCTTAATGACAATGTAAACAGTTTTATTAATTCAAGACTAAAAATCTTCAGAACAACCCTACTTTTTATTTATCTAAGTCTAGAACAAATTTAATTATTAACACTGTACTCAATGTATCGATGCGTCTTTGGAACTCATTACCTGAGTTAATTAAAGAAAGATGCTTTTATGATAAAGTTAATAAATTTGCCGCTTTTATAAACAAAATGCCAACAAACAACGTAAGTGAAAGCATTAACAAATTATTAAAAGATGAAACTGATCATAAAGAGATAAAAATTGACGGGGTGGTTTTAATTTTATATAAATTTCAAATATATTTTTAAAATGAATTTGATAGGGGTTACAGGAGAATAGGTAATTTCGAACTGAAACATTCAATTAACAAAATAAAATTACATTGACAGTCAATGATTACACACCTATAGAGGATATAATTACTTCTATAAAAAAGCAGAAACGACAATGCTATTGAACGCGACAAGTGTTCAAATATTGCTAAAAAAAATTTTAACTGACACTGCTCTCGTCGTTTCTTGTGATCCGTATTTTCAAGTTTCTTTTAGAAAAAAAATCTAATCACCAATACGATATTTACAGTAAGCGTTAATAAAAACAAGCTAACCTGTTCTTGCCCTTCACGCAAAAACTGCTATCACATTGAAGCAGTGAATAAGTGTCAAGGTTTTCAAAAGAAAATAGCAATTACATTAACTACATTGATTAGGGACAGACAAAAAGAAACAAAAAGCGGCCGCAAAAAACCCCGAATCAAAGATATAATTCCAGACGTGTTGCCTGCAGAAGATTTTATTTTCTGTAATACGGCAACAATCCCTAATAGGTTTTGGGAATTATAGATTTTGACGCAGCTACTATCGGGGTCAAATTTTGCAACACCAATTTAATTAACTTTGAAATAGTAAATAACTAGTGGCTTACCAGAGGTGATAATGATTTATTAATTATTTGAGCAATGCACCTTTACAGAAAAACGGATTCCGCGGGTTACATATGTTTTATTACAATCTTACAGGTATGGTTACAAAAATATGACCAAGTGTTAAAATACATTTTAGAAACAGATGCTCTAAGCAAAGATGTTGTTATGATAGTTGTTTTAAATAAATCGAAAATAGGCACGCACTGGCTTTCAGATGTAATTTCATTATATGAAAAAACTGTAACAATTTTTGATCATTAAGATCTGAAGATATGAGTTTAGTGAACTTTTTATCCATTTTTCTAATATTGTTACAATGTGTTTTTTTGCAATGTCTAAGCAAATAAATTGAAATGAATGAGAATTTTGGTATTCTTCTGATTGTATGCAACAAATGAATCTGTGTGATTGTGGTATGTTTGTTATCGAGTACGCAAAAGCTAATCTAAGAGAAGATGCAAATGTAGACTGTAATGACACTCGAAAATGGAATGAAAGACAGGTACAAAGGAATTTTAACATGGAGATTACGAAAATGATATCAAATTTGTTGTGTGACCTGACAATTTTATGTAAATTCACAATTTCATATTCTCCATTTACAGCTGTGTAATGGAATTGAACCCATTAGGCCTAGTACATGGCAGAATAATATTGCTTACGTCTGCAGAACTGCTTTCCTTACGCCAACAGAATTTCGTCGCTTACGTCAGCAGAATCGTGGCCTGCTTATGTCAGTAATGAAAAATGGTAGAAAAACTAGGAATATTCTAAAAACTTGTATGGGTCTCAAACCAAAACCATCATTTTTTGCCATTAGACTGAACAATGGCTTGATTACTGATGATTTATGATTTATGTTTTAATGGTAAATTTTCTGCAAATGTTGACCATGTATTCTCTAATAATAGTACTCTATTAAATTTTAAACAGTATTGCAATGTTAATGTGACTAATTAATTTTTTTTATTTAATTGTTTGGAATGCGATATATTTGACGAAGCTAACAATTTTAATTACTCTACTTTTTCTGGAGATGATTTAATTTCTAACTTTCTTATAAAATCTACTATATCTAATATTATCTCACCTCTCTGTCACTTAATTAATTTATCTTTCGAGAACGGCTATTTTCATAAATGCTTAAAAACTTCAAAAGTTATGCCTTTATTTAAATCTGGGGACCCTTATGATGTGAATAATTACCGACCTATTTCTATTATTTCAAGTCTATCTAAACTTATTGAAAAAATTGTTTTTCTGAGACGAACTAATTTTTTGAATTCGAATAATTTATTAATTTCTAACCAATATGGATTTTGGGCCAAACATTTTACTGAATTTGCCGTGGCCGATATAGTTAATTCCATTTCTAAAGCTATTGAATCTAAGTCATTTTCAATTGGTGTCTTTCTTGATCTCTCTAAGGCGTTTTATTCTCTTGACCATTCTATTTTATTATATAAATGATCTAAATACGGTATTAGGGGTGTTTCTCTTGATTGGTTTGTTTCTTATTTGAATGAAAGATCTCAATATGTTCATATCAATAACTCTAAATCTACTCCTTCTCTAATCACTACTGGCGTTCCTCAAGGTTCAACAGTTGGTCCTTTACTCTAATATTTTTATAAATGATTTTATTAACTCTTCTAAAACCTTAAAAGATTGGAACTAATATTGTTAACGTTCAACTTTCATTAAATAACACTTGCATTAATATAGTTCAATCAACTAAATTTTTAGGTGTTATTATAACAAGCAATTTATAATGGACTAATCATATTCAAATAATTTCACAAACAGTTACAAAACTTTAGGTGTGATATATCTACTTAGGTCTAAATTTCCTAAACATGTTTTATTTACATTATATTATTCAATTGTTTTGCCATATATTACTTATTGTATATCTATTTGGGGTTTTAGTACAAAGCCAAATATCCATATTTTAAACGTTAGTCAAAACTTTTTTCTTCGTATACTGTTTGGTTTAACTAAATTTGATCACATTAGTAATTTTTATACGTCATCAAAAATTTTGAAAATTTGTCAATCACACATTCTATTTACTTTATTGTTATTTTATAAATTATTTAAATTAAATTACTGCCCTTCATAATCCATCAGTTAAATTATTTATTAAATCATCATTCCATTGTTTCAAGAAACAACCCGGATTTTTACTTACCTAAACCTAGTACAAATTTCATAATTAATTCAGTTTTTCATGTGTCTAGTCGCCTATGTGTCTATCAAAACATCTGGTACTGCAGGTATCCAAACGTTACTACAACTTTGCCGTGAAATCTGGAGAAATTGCTCATGCCGACTGAATGGAACTATAGCATGACAGTCCCGCTATACAAAGGCAAAGGTGATCCATTGAACTGTTCATCATATCGGGGTATACGTCTGTTAGAACACTCCCTGAAAATTGTCGAAAAAATCATTGAGAGAAGATTAACGTCGTGCATCACAATCGGAAATTATCAATTTGGTTTTCTAGCGGGGAAATCAACAATTGATGCAATTCACATCCTTCGGCAACTGCAAGAGAAGTACCTCACAAAGCATCAACAACTATCACATATTTCTGTAGACCTTGAAAAAGCATTTGATCGAGTTCCCCATGAAGCAATCAGGTGGAGTCTACGTCGTCAACTCATTCCAGAATATCTTGTTCGACTTGTGATGGAAATGTATACGAATACTAAGACTCTTGTCAGCACAACGGTTGGAAACACAGATTCATCTGACATCGGCGTTGGAGTTCACCAAGGCTCGATTCTCAGTCCACTGTTATTTATAACTGTGATGGAAGAAATCACAAAACCGATACGCACTGGTGACATTTGGAATCTAGTATATGCTGATGATATAGTTTTAACAGCCACGTCTGAGCAGAATGCAGCACAGATGTTTGAAGATTGGAACACCAGACTCGCCGATCATGGATTCAAAGTCAACATCAGCAAAACCAAAGCAATGAACACTGGTGAACCCATCCAATCCACAGTTACTGGACGATGGCCCTGTTCAGTTTGTAAAGCTGGTGTAGGTAACAATTCAATCAAGTGTCAGCAGTGTAACCAGTGGTGTCACAAACGTTGTTCAAAAATAGTTGGTAATTTATCTAAAGTGTCCAATTTTGTTTGTCCTGCTTGCATCAATCCACAACAACAAATTCAAAATAGCACTGTTTTTGAAGCCATTAAAATAGAGAAAGTCAAATCGTTTCAACATCTAGGGGATGTTCTGGATTGTACTGGAACAGCTGAAGCTGCCGTTCGAGCACGCATACGTGCAGTCTGAAATAAATGGCATCTCCTTGCCTCTATATTGATGCGGCGTGACATCCACTACCACTACCATCAAGACTTTATAAATCTGTGATACGTCCGGTGTTGTTATATGGTGAAGAAACATGGCCAATGACAACCAAACTGGAACAACAACTTCAACGAACCGATATGAAAATGCTCCGATGGATGCAACGAATTAGTCTGAAGGACCACATCAAATCTACCGAAATCCTGCGTCGTGCTGGTTTAGATGATATAAAGGACGAATGCCGGCAACACCGTCTGCGGTGGTTTGGTCATGTCAAACGAAGTGGAAACAGTGCCATAACTTCTCTTGCAGATGTTGAAGTACCTGGCACACGTCCCAAAGGCCGTCCAAAGAAGTCTTGGTCGCAAACAATCGAGCAAGACATGAAAGCTCTAAATTTAAATGAAATGGATACAACTGATCGTCTAATTTGGCGCAAAAAGTTGATGGCAAAGAAAACAACGTCCTACCTCGGGAAACCGGGTCTCTGGACGCAAAACGAAGATTGATTGATTGATTGATGTGTCTAGTCGCCTATTGGATATTTTACCAATGCATGTTAAAAATTTGCCAACGCTAGGATCATTTAAACGCTGTTCATCATTTAATCTTGGAAAATTATATTTCATCGTTTAATAATGATTGAAATTGCTCTGGTCAAACTGTTTATTCTATTTTTATTTTGATATTTTGTTTATTAGAAGTTATTTTACTTTTCTTTTCTCACAAGGTGGCCTAACAAGTGAAAACTTCTGGTCTCCTAGTA